CCACAGAAGCTTCAATCTAATTTATTATTTGCATAGGTCAATGACCACACATTTTTTTTCCTTTCACCTGAAGCTCCTCGGATGCCTTGACCTTGCACTTGGCTGCTGCATTGGCAAAGGTGGCCATCCAGACGTGGCTCATTGGGTAGGGGCCCAAGTCAAGGAGGTCTTTGCGCTCAATGATCGAAAAGAGGGCTTCCTTTAAATCAATGGCTTTGTACGAACGTCCAGAGATGCCAGCAGGCAGAAAGAGAGAATCTGTATCCATCAACCTGATGGTAGACGAGGCAGAATTATCCTGTAGTCTTGGAAGCTTTCCGATACCCGCTCTGAAACCCGGCCTTCCAGTGCCGTCGAACTGCTCTCAATGTCGTCGTCCTTGTAGGCCTTGATGTGAGCCTTACGGCGCTCAGAACGAACCCGGGCCCCAGAAGTTCGCTGCAGTTTAGGACAAGCAGAAAAGGCAGTGTTCCTTTGAAGACACTTCGTCGTCTTCCCTAAGCTGCGCTACCACTCCGGGAACTCGTTGTAACTGCTGCTTATGCTGACAGTGGCGGCAGCGTCTCTCTCCACGAGCTAGCCAATCCGGCGTGAGCGCCATTGCTAGGGGGTGCACCGCCAGTGTTTGCCCTGCCCAGGTCGGCTGTTTCAGGGGGGGGGGGGGAGGGGGCCAAACACGTGCCGCCCCCCCCCCCCCCCCCACTGTGAAAACTGGGGGGGGGCAAGCGCCCCCCTTGCCCCCCCTGTTGGTACGCCCATGGATCCGGCAACGTATGCCAGGAAGCTTTGAAGTTCTTCGTGGCCCAGGTGAGGTCCGGGGTTGTGTCGTTGTGCCTGGTGCTTGTTGCGATCCTTGTAGGGGTGTCGGGCTCGTTAAGAAGGACCAGCATTTGCTGGTTATATTCCGTCCTTGTTTGTTAGCTTTTTTGTACCCCCACTGTGGGTGTTGGGCATTCATATCCCCAGCGATGAGTGGGGGTGCGTTGCCTTGCACTGTGGCATCGAACCAGCCTGCGCCGTTTCTTCTTTCTGTCCTGGTCTAATGTAGACGTAAATGTGGAATTGTTTGATTGCGTATGCGTAGCTTAACTCACACAACTTCTCGGGCTGCGTTACATATATGCGAGGTATCTATTTGCGATCGTGTTGTACTATTCAAGACGAGGGTGGTTGCTTGGCCATAGGTTGCGCTAGTGGATTGTTGGCTTTGGTAGTTGCGGGATCGTCAGACGATGGTGGGATGAGTGTATATAGTGTACCCTCGAAAATTGAGGTTTTCAACGCGTTTGCTTCCTCTAGGAGAATGACGTGAGGTTTGTTTTTCCTCACTTTCTCTAATCTTTCTTTAAGTTCCGCTGCCTTGTTATTAAATCTCCTGCAGTTCCATTGTAGAACCCAAGGAAACGTCGCCTTACGTTTTGGTTTGTTTTCTTTGTTGTGTTTGGGCAAGTTAATCATTTAGTCGTTTGAGGATGTCTCGTAGGGTTTGCGAGATGTTCTCGAGGGATTTTTCGACTCTGTCCATGCGTTGTTCCATTGCCGTTAGACGTTGCTCGCAGCTGGTGTGATTATGTTGTTGTTGCCAGTTGGAGTTTCCGCAATTTGTGGCTGGAGAAATTTGCAGGTTTTCTACCGCTGATGTGGTGCCATCTTGAACCTTTTCGAATACCATGGGTGGAACGTATGGATTGACATTGTAAGGTGTTGCCCATGCTCGTTGTGGGTGTGGGTTCGTCCATGACTTCGAAGAGTTTGATGCGGGGGGTGCTAGGTCCATTCTTGTCATATTTAGAGGGGGTCTTTTCCCTTAGGGTGTCCAAGCCGGGAGTCTTTTGGGGGGAATTTTCCGCTTGGGGCAGTCGTTACTTGTGGCGATGTGGGGACCACTGCAGTTTATGCATTTAGGCTGTAGTTCACATCCGGACTCGCTATCATGAGTGTGTCCGCATCGGTCACAGAGCTTGATGCCGCTAGGGCAGACGTCCGATTTGTGGCCTATTTGATGGCATGAGTAACAGACGAGAGGTCTTGGTCGATAGTAGGTTACTCTGAATATTTCGCAGAGGAAACGAACGTGCTTTGGAATAGATTTCCCATCGAAAGTGATCAAGATGGTCCTGCCCGATCGTCCAGTGGGACGAGCTCCGACGATCGTGTGTGTTCTTTAGTCGAGAATTTCCATGAGGGTTTCTGTAGTTTCTTGCACGTCGTGTCCGGACAAGTAGATAACTCCGCGGATCTGATCATTTGAAACCGCCATGTTGGGTTTCACTCGTAGCTTTGTTCGCCCTTGACGATTTGGTTGATGTTGAGTAGTTTATTCGTAAGGAGGGGGTTCTTTGTTGTGATAGCAATGGTGTTAGATTTCTGGTTGCGATGGGCGGAGAAGTCATCTTTGTTTTGAATTCCTGCCTTTTCCATCGCCCCAACAATGTCTCTGTCGGTGAAGTTGTCTACGCGCCTTTTGCACGTCGGTTGAGTACGACCGTGTGCCTGGGTGTTCTCTGTGTTGCTTGCGTGGCTTTCTGTTGACGGTAAGTGGAGTTGGCACGTCGTCTTTCTTTTTTTTTTTTTTTGTGAACCTTGAAATTGGTATCCATCATCTTCCATGTTCTCGACTTCTGTCAATGAATTCCCATTCGAGGTGGTCGATGTGGAAGGCATGTTATGCCTTGCCGTCATGATGGACCGCGTGAGCCATCCTTTCTCACCCGTTTCGCTTTGTTAGGGTGGTGTCTGGGAATTTCACTGAGCTCAGAAAGTCTCGAATTCGTTCTTGTGCGTGAAATATTCCTGAAAGCAACACCATTCGTGGTCATTTCTTCGTAGGGTCCACTGTTGGAGCGGGGCGACTCAATAAGTTCTTTATTCTTCATGTAGAACTCGATAGATACTCGATTCTGCATGAATTCTTCTATCGCTTGGCGCTCTTGGGCACATGCCACTAAAAACTCTCTCCTGTGGTAAGAGTGCTGAAAAATCCAACTGACCTTTTTGGGTAGGGTGTCCTGTGATGTTGCGGGGGGTAGTACTTTTTAGTCGGGTGACGTGGAGGATGTGGCGACTAAGGCAGCGCTTGTCCGTGGGAGCTTGCAATGTTTCCACCAGGTACAGTTAACCGCCTGTACGGTCCAGAACCCAATATACGCAGTGGTATTTGTCGAGAAGTTTTTCGGATAGACCAATTTAACGGTGTGGAAGGGAACGCCAGACCAAGTCTCCTGGGGCAGCATGGCATATCACCTATCCCTTTTCAATAAAACTCTAAAGTCGCAAAAAAAAAAAAAAAAAAGAATGGAAACTTTCAGCCTTTTTACTCTGGTGAAGAGGGAAGAACAGTGGAGGTGTGGTTATGTGCCGCCGTCGCTTATAGATGGCGGTAGCTGTCTAGAGGGTTGTGTCGAGATTCATTTGTCCACGAACACGAAGCTGGGGAACCCAGCCCTTAACAGCTCCGCTGTAAAAAGAGATGTCTTTGTGTTGAGAATTGTAGAGGCATTTTTCTTTCGCTTGTTCGCTTGTCGTCCGCAGGCGTGCTTATTGACGTCATTCCTCAGCATGTGAGGCCACGTTTGAAACAACCCGTTGTTCTGTAAAATTTGACCGGTATCATTCATCCTTTTTCATTGGCCTCACCATCGTGATCGGGCGGCATGAGACTGAGCCCGGATGATTCGACTCTGGCCTGTGTCCGAGCGGTCACAGTAAATCCCTCCAAAAACCAACAACGGTCTCTATCTTACAATCTTATTGAGACGCTTGTTTGTCACCTTCCTTCTGTCTCTTCTAATATATCTTAAAGTTTCCTTCTAAGTCTCAGGGCATCATGGCTTGTTAGAGAGAGGTTACGGAAAGAGAATTCTTCAAACCTGAGAGCACTACAGTTGCGGAACGCTTTTGTGATAGGCCATTATAGAAAAAGAAAGCGGTGGTAAAGACAACCGGAAGAAGATAAAGTCGCAACTGTCAGTAATACGCGTGCATGGTGAAACAAGAGTAAAACATAGAAAAATATACCGTGGTAGTAAGCGCAAAAAAAAAAAAAAGTTTTGTTATTCCTTTTTTTTTTTTGTACCTAAAGAGCAAATACATACGGCGATCCAACGTGTTGGAGTAAATTCTTACAAAGTTGGACGGCCATTACACATGCGCACGTTTGTGCAAGACTGGTTTCACCAAGCATGTTACATGGTATTTATTGAAGAAAGGTCTTTTTATCTTCAAGCATCGTGAGCAACGTGCGCACTTGTCTCTATGGGCCCTCGCTTTTCAGGAGAACTCGCAAGCTTTTCATGCTTCCTATTTTTTTTTTCAATCAAGTGCAACGAAGTATGAAGCATAAAGTGTAAGTTCAGCATACCGGTGAAATGAAACTCCCGCTCCCGTCTTTTCTGTGAATAGATAACGCAAGACGGCTGTTCTCCTTGGATCGGGCGGTACATCCCGCCATCTGTCAGCTACCAACTGCAAGAGCAGTTGAATAGAGTCTCTCCCTATCGGTCACCGACCGCAACCGTCGGGTAACTCCCAGTGACTCTGGGTGACCCGGACGACACACGTGGGATCAAAGCTGATGAAAACCCGGCAGTGGCCCGCGCACCACGAGTTCGCCGCACTACCGGCACTACGCCGGCTTCCCCGCAAATCGGAGCCGTCTTTGCGCGTGCACGAGTACCCTCGTCGATGGGCGGCAAGAAAAAACAGAGGACCAAATGGCGGACGCTTCCCATGGGTAAGGAGCTAGCCCGTTCCACTTTCACTTTCTTGCCGCCCTCGTAGCGCTGGAGCTCTGATAACAATTGACCGGCAGCGTGCGAGGTCAAGCACAAGGTGATACTCGGAGCAGACTCCACTGGGACGCGCGTGTCTTGAACAACGTGGTTCCGGCCCCGTGCTCTTCTTTCGAAACTTATCGAACTGCTCGCGGGAAGAAAAACCTGCCGGTGGCGCTTACGAGTTCTATGACCCCGCGCGCTCGAGGTTATTGGGGTCGTATTGACATGCGCATTCGTTCGACCGTGCCTGGGTGGAAACAAAAAGAAAAACAGGAGAACAGCGTGCCGCTATTGTTTGTCGGGACTCGTAAAAAGTGGCCGGCTCCTTCGTCCTGTATAGTATATACACGCACGTGCGTTATGAATCCGTTGCGGTTAACGTACTTTCAAAACTGTTTTCAGCCCACCCGGAAGCCGAGCCGGAGTCGTACTTGGTTGAGCAACCTCGGCCGGCTCGGCCGCCCCAGTCCTCGCACCGACAACCTCCGTCGGCGCAACCGAGTAAGAGAACGATTACATCGGGCGGCTGTACGACGCTTTGACCGATCTCTCAACCGCAGGGAGAGCACCTCGTCTCGTGAGCGGCGGACTGCTGGCTGTGCCGGTAGCTGCGATTCCACTCGTCCCTTCGTGCCCGCCTGCGGGCAGCGGAGTTCTTTTCGAGAACGGGCCCGACCCGGAGGCCAAGGGATGCTACGTGAACGGTGCGTTCTCTTTCCTCTCTCTCTCTCTCTGCGCGTGAAAAAAAAAAATGTTTATTCTCGTTTTGTGTAAGCCACGCGTTTGTTTGCGTTCGGTGCTCTGCGTGCGACGCGCCTGCGACGTGCCTGCCGTCTGCTTAAACCAAAACAAACATACTTCCCCCCCTCCCCTTTCTTGCGAGTCGTGTAGTCTAGCGAAATTGGTAGTGTTTTCCGTGTTACCGGAAAGCAGCGAGGGAGTCGATTCTTCGGAATTTTTCCGTACCGGTTTTGTAGCGCTTAGCGACGGTCGCGGCATCACGCGGCCACCTCTGTTTCCCCATCGGTGCGAAAAACGGAAACACAGGTCAAAGACTAACGATTATGTGCGCACAACTTAAATAAAAATGCAAAAAAAAAAAAAAAAAGAAAGAGAACGTTTTGCATGAAAAGTACGCTGCGTTCTATGATCAAATAGAAATGAAGTTGACCCGTCATTCCCGCGGTTACTGGTTTCGCAAGAAAAGCAAGAAATAGCTGAACCTACGTGCCTCTTTTTTATTCGGGGTGCTCAAAGCCTTCCTAACCGTAAAAAAGGACACGTCTCTTAAAACATGACGAGGAAGCAAGATGCTTTGTTTTGCGGCACGGGCAACGCAGGCCTCTGGATTCCGGCGTCCGAACTCCCACGAACGCAGTGGCTCCAGCTGTTCCTGCTGCTGCCGCGGCCATGTTGGGCGACGCCAGGCGTCGCCACGGCCGCGCCGCCTGCCGCCGCCGCACCGCCGTGCCCCGACGCCGTCGCAGCAGCAGCGGCCGAATGCCAGGCCTACCGGGACGAGCTGGGACCGACGCCGCCGAACGTCGCGTCGCCGACGACCAGTGAGTGCGACATGTCACCGTCGCTTCCCGTAGTGTCTCTCTCTCCCGTGCAAACCCGTTGTCGCGTCGCACGACACGCACTAGCGCGGACCGGACTGTCCGCCGCGTCGCCGCAAATCCGCGCGAAAATCACCGACGAGCGTTGAAGCCGAAATATCACGGTGCGCGCGCGCCGCCGCGTTTCTTCCGTAAGGTGACCCTGCTCCTCGCGGAGGTCCGTCGAGCCGCCGTCCGTCGCCGCTATTTTTAGCCCTATCCCCGAGAAGAAGAACGAGCACTTTGTCGTCGCGCGGGCGGCTTTCGTTTTGTCGGTTTGAGCCGAATGCCAAGTGTGACGAGTCAACCGCTACGCGCTGGAAGTGAGCGGCGGAGGTTCGCGGCTTTGTCGGGCGATGATTAGGCACCTCGGTGGGAACTCCACGACGGGATGAAGGCATCGATTGAAGAGAGCGCTCTCTCGCGATATGTCGCCTCTCCCTTTTGTTGTCGTCGTTATTTTATTTCTCGAACGCGCCGCCGACGCTGTCGCTAACTGCGCTGGCCGCCGTGTACGTCGCACCCCTTTAATCGTCCATTATCGCTGATTAGCCGCGCGCTATTCGTGGAGCCAAAAAACGCGCGAAGAAAAAGCGCGCGCACGGGCGCCTGCGAAGGGTGCTTTCCCGCAGATTCCGTGTGTGTAGTGGCGAAGCGCGCTTGTTGGAAGCTGAGACCCGCGGTTCGCCCTAAAGGTCGGCCCACTTAAATGATTAATTTAGGCGTATCCTCGTGGATTGCTCGGAGCGGATGAAGCGGGCGGCGGCCCCGCGTTGAGTCGATGGCCGCGCGGTGTCGTGTGCGGGTGTCGTTATATTTGCGCGAATAATAGAGATCGCCCCTTTTTATGCATTTTTTAACGCTTTTAGGTTGTCTCGTGGCATCGGAAGAACAGGATTATTCGTTGGCACGGACGGAGCCTGCGTCGACAGGGAACTGTGACGACCGCTTGCGAGCAATGGTGGGTGCGAATTTATACCTTCTGTCCTCTTAGATTTTACCAGTGACGTCTGCAGTAGCAGGGTCTACGTTCTCGGTGAGGAAGGGGGAAAAGGGGAGGCGGGAGGGGGAGGTATTAAATATTGCTTGCTCGAAAGAGAGAACACTGCTTACAGGTTTTCTTTTTGTTTTCTGTTTCGAGTTTAGAAAGTTTGTGCGCGCAGTGCTTGTGAGCGACCCTTTCGGCGATACATTGCCTGAAATTTCTAATTTTGACGAAAGACATGTATGTTGTAGGGAATTTTCTACATATAAGAAAGGGGGAAAACCGCGGGTTGGGATGATTTTTTGTTCTCCAGTTATGGAGCGGAGAAGCGGCCGCGGTGGAAATGGGCGTTTTTCCCGTCTGTCACTTTCCTCCCGTGGTTTTTGTCTCTGCGTTATTTTAATTTTTGTCTATAACTCTGTAGACAACGTGAAGAGGTCTTAATGTATTGGGATATTTCGAGGCATTTTATGATTGTTTAAAGAAATAATCAAACTCATCTCTCAAGTCGATTTTTAATAAGCTTTGACAAACTGCCATTTGCGACCTGCTTAGGTTATATTTGAAATTCCTATGTCCGTGGAAAGCGGAAAAGGAGTTCTTTACAAATATATTCAACTCATTCAGTTGTTTTTATTATATCCTTTGATATCATACCGTAAAAATTTTAAGCAAGGAGAAAATTGCATGTTTAAAATTAATTTTCTCAAAACCTTTTTTTTTTTTAACTCTTTTGAGTCTTTACGCAGGAAAGATAGTTTTCTACGAAGAACCATAATTTATAATTGAAACATTTTGTTTATTGGCCTCTATTCAAGCCCAACATCGTGAAATGTGTGATGGCATGTAGCTAGAAAAACAGGCAACCTTATCGAATTTGGGCATCTTCGATTTTTTTTTTTAAATTTATTGGCAATCTCTCGGGCGATATCTCCACGCCCTGGTAATTAATTCATTCACTTTGAAGCGACAAGGATAAGGCCGAAACCATATGAGTGGGAAAAAAGTTTTACACAACAAAATATTAAAAAAGGAAAACTTTTAGGTAGCATTGGGATGAAAGAACATATTGCACACAGTTGGTGGCTTATTTAGCTTATGGCTGTATTCGCAAACTCTGCTCGGCGCTTCATGAAAGCAGAACTTTTTTTTTTTTTTTTGTTGCACGTGTCGTCGAGGGTTGAGGCGTTGTACAGGAGAGTGAAAAAAAGAAAAAGAACAACAACGAAACGGCAAAGTGTACGAGCAGTAAAAACCTAAAGTAATAACGTCTAAATGACACGTGGCATAAACATGGAATGAAAGCGGAACATTCACGCACAAACGTGGCTAATGAGAGGAAAAACTGCCGGAACAGGGAATCAATCCGATGAAATATCTGGAGGGAGCTAGTTCCAGTTGTGCCCCGTGTAAATAGTGGAAGAATACAATGAAGTGAGTCACGAGCACACGAGCTGCAGAGGTGGGTAACGCCATGATTAAAAGAGAACACTCTTCAGTCTTTATGCTCCTCTTATCCAGTCTATAGAGTGACTCAAATAGACAGGTTTGATCTAAAATGGGTCGTTAAAATCGGCACCTGCACGTGGCAATCTAAATTTTTCGTCAAAGGTATATTTCATTGGCCGGAAGTTTCTTGTGACGTTACAAAGCGTAGCTCCCTTTCCGTAAAAAAATAGGGCCAAAAAGCTTGCCAGGCTGAACGGCGGGCGGCGACGCAGACGACCAAGTCGAGTTGCGGGGTGCGTTTGGCGCGCGTATTGATGGATGGCGTCGGGAGCAGCGTCGGAAAGTGCAGCCGACCAGCGAAAGAAAGCAGACGACACGCGGACGAAATCTGTCGGCAGCAAAAACGCCGTCGTTATGCAACAGCATTTTGTTTTTAACTTCAAGTTTTGTTTTTCATGTCTGCATTTATTTTTTAAAACAAAGATACACTACAAAAATATTTTGTTCATTTTAGTAGATAACGGTCGTCGCGAGCAGTCTCGATAGAGAGGCAGCGCCATCTATCAGTACGTGCGCCAAACGCGCCCCGCCGCTCGACTCAGTCGTCTGCGTCGCCGTCCACCGTTGACCCTGGCAAGTTTTTTGGCCCTATTTTTTTTTTTACAGAAAGAGCTACGCTTTGTAATTTTACAAGAAAAAGAGAACGATTTGTGAAATACACCTTTGATGAAAAATTTCCATTGCTACGTGCAGGCTCCGATTTTCACGGCCCATTTTAGATCGCGCTTGGTTATTTTAGTCACCTTGTTTCTGAGAACCAGACGATTGGAGGAGGTGGATCGCACGATGGGAGCGTTATCGTGTCATCTCCAGACTCCATCTCCCAGACCAAGTCACCCATGCGAACACTTTTCTCTACGCTATGGAACGGGAAGAGAATACGTGCTCTTTTCACTTAAGTTGACAAGAGATGAGGTGACCGTCTGCGCAGCAGTAAAATACAGGTTCGAAGCGCACTTCTGTCGCCATACAAACGTCACCTGTAAAAGGCCGAAGTTTAACGTGCGAATACAAGAGGAGGCCCATGAGACGGCAGAGTTGTTTATAACTGACACAAGATGGCAGACACCTGCGACTACGATGACCTAAGCGAAGATAGAATCAGGGACCGGCTAGTCGTGGGTCTCCTAGACAAGAAATTAAGCAAAAAGCTGCAACTTGACGCAAAACTCACGCTCCAGAAGGCCACTTCAGTAGCTCCCAATTCGGAAGCTGTCAAACGTCAAAAAAATTAAATACGTGGCGACGAAGAAGCACATGCTGTTGTGGACGAAGTTGGAAACAGGCAAGGTGGCTGTCAAAACCTAACTCATTGCGGAAACGCCAAGCAACCGTCGCCGTTTGAAGCCTCATGGTCCAGCAGATAGTGCGGCAGCTTGCTAAGACACAGCAGGGCGCAGTGCCCGGCAAATGGGAAGAAATGCAACGGATATAAGAAAATTGGTAATTTCCAATCGGTTTGCATGGCCCAAGACCGGAAGCTCAAGCAACCTTGGGAAGCGAAGGAAGTTCGCCGTGGAAGAACTATTCGTGCGACAGGTACGCCATTCAACAAACGACGAATCATGGACAATCAGGGCCAGAGTTGGCCAAACGACAGTGACTTTAAAGGTCGACACCGGTGCAGACGTCTTGGTGATTTTAGCCATGGAATACGGTGAGAAAACCTTGGATGTCCTGAGTGTTGCCAACAAGAAACTTCTCACGGCCAGGAAAACACACCTCCACGCCCTTGGGCAACTCATCACGAGCATCCAGTAGAACAACCAGACGACCAAGCAGAGTATCTGTATTGCTAAAGGGCTCCGATACGCGCTACTCTGACGCCCAGCCATCCAAGTCCTTTACGTGCTTCCATTTTTGCACGAAGTCAGCACCAGCAGCAGCCAGTGTCCGAAGTATTAAGAGTTGTTTCTCGAGGGCCATTTGCAAACAATGAGGACTGAGTACAAGATCACTCACATATCCTCAACACGTGCTTGTTCCGGTTCTGCGGAAAGTCCGCCAGGAAATGCAGCGAATGCTGGACATGGATGTCATCCAGCAGGTAGAAGAGGAAAAACAATGGTTTACTCCAACGGTCGTCGCCAAGAAAAAAAACGACAGCTTAAGGATCAGCGTTGATTATACAGAACTTAACAACCAGATCGTTCGAGAAGGCGTCATTGTGACGACAGTCGAAGAAAACTTGGCAAGACTTGTTGAGGCGCGCATATTCTCGAAGCTGGACGCAGACGTGGGAAACTGGCAGGCTCTTTTGGCACCCGAATCCAGGGAGCTGATGACCTACATCATTCTCCTAGGACGCTTCAAGTTCTTACGGTTGCCGTTTGGCATTTCCACGGTGCCTGAATTCTTACAAAAAAAAAAAAAAAAGATGCCCCGCATTTTTGAAGGAGTACCAGGTCAAGCATGGCACATGGACGAAGTACTGGTGTTTGGGACTAAAAGGCAAGAGTATAACATAAACCTGAAATAGATGCTCCAATGTCTAGAAAATGCTGGCTTGACCTTGAAGGGAAACAAATGTGAGTTCGCGACGAACATAATTAGGTTCTTAGGGCACATCCCGGACAGCACAGGCCTCGCGGCTGACCCAGAGAAGACAGCCTCTGTCATCAAAATGCCGGCGCCCTAAAACCTGAAGGATCTAAGACCTTTTCTCGGAATGGTCTATAATTTGGCCAAATTCCTGCCTATGGTGGCACAAAAGACAGGACCTCCGAGGGATCTACTATACAGGGACGCAAGTTGGTGCTGGTGTGAACAGCATGAGTCCGCCTTTCAACGGATCAAGGCCGACCTGTGTACGACTCCAGTCCTCGCGTACTATGACCTTGAAGCGAACATCACCCTTCAGACGCATCATCGTACGGTCTCGGGGCCGTACTGCGCCAACAAGACGGCGAAGGTAAAACAATGCCTGTGGCTTACACCTCTGGAGCCACGACGGAAGCGGAGCAAAAGTATGCTCAAGTAGAAAAGGAAGCCCTCGCTCTCACATGGGCGAGCGAGCACCCTCGAAGGTACTTGCGGGGTCCGAGGTTTCATGTTTAAACAGCCCATACACCGCTGGTGCCGCTGTTTTCAACGAAACGACTAGACGAGATGATGCCACGTTTGCAACGCTTGCGGATGATGATCCTGGAGTACTACTTTGCAATATCTTACACACCAGGAAAAGAGATGCACACCGCTGTCTTCTCACGCGGAAGCTTCCATCATCACAAGCAAGTCACACACGGAAGGAGGAGAGGTATGTAAAGAAGTTAGAACTTCTAGCAGTGGAACTCGTGCCCACATCCTGTAAGCTCCCCGACAAACTCAGGTCAGAGCTCAACAAGGATGTGACCACGGCACGGCACGGAGCCAAAGCCAGTGCCCTGTGCTGGCTAACTTACCACCAAAAGTTAGGCAGTATGGCAGCGTGGCCTCGGAACTAACCTCAGTTCAAGGGTTTCTAATGA